GTTACCCATCGGGAATTTCAATCTCCCTATATATGTTCAAATACAATTTCGTTATATTCATCCCGAAGTTAGTCCGAATATTCTTTAAATCATTTTAAATGTTATAATTTTGTGACAAATTTTGTTATTGTTTACTGTAATTTATATAATTAACAGTTATTAATTTTTATATTGTGTCGCTTTAATGTAGGGTAATGTTAAGAGTGAATATGTAGTTTTTGGAAGTTCACTACTATACCCAATAAACTAGGAAAGTGAGATTATAAAGCGTCATGTTTCTAAGTTTTGGTTACTTTAATCTTATTCTCTTCAAAATCTCCCCTATCTGTACTAGCTAATTTCCCTTTGAATTCCACAGAAACCGGTTTTCTAAGATGCCTCGCCGTTATATAATTCGTTAGAATCGCGTAAACTGATGACTTCTTAAATCCAGTTCATCAACAATCATCAAAACCATTTACTGAAAATTATAATCGACCACCCATGTTGAATACCGTCACCACTAGAGAAAACCAACATATCCTCTAGTATCGCCCATCGAGTTTTTACGGTTATCTATAGAACCCTTAGTCCATTTGAAAATACCTTGTCATAAAAATATGCTATCTCTCTAAACAGCACTTAATGTTTGATTAATTTCCTGAAAGTTTTACCCAAGTATTTGTAACACTGAAAAAACCCAATTAAATACATACTTTTTGAATCAACAGTGTTGTTTCATTACACTATAGAGAATTTACAAATTAAATTGATCCTTAAAAAAAATAACATTTGCTTACTTATAAAGTTAGTTGTTTAAACAACTAAATAGATACTTACAATTAAGCGAACGTACACATACACTCAGATTTTTCTAATGACATACATATTTGATGATAAGTATTCTCCAGAACATTTTCCCCTCCTTTCAACTTGTCATCAAAATAATTACATTTATAGTATGAAATTTATATTTTAATACAAATTCGGAAAAAAATGGAGAAAAAGAAAATCGAAAGATAACAACATCTTATCTGTCTATACACAATACACTATAAAGTAATCAGAAAAAATAAACCACTTTTCACTTCCATACTTAGTTAATACATATTGTGTTGAAATACTTTAATTTATGACTAGTTACTGAATAATAATAATAATAATAATAATAATAATAATAATAATAATAATAATAATAATAATAATAATAATAGTAAAATTGATAGTAATGAAGTAGAAAATCTGTAAAATTATTTGTAAACAAACTACACGCAACTAGCAAATGTGATGACAAATCAATTGAAAATAATTTATTTCATTTATGACATCTCTCTCCCTCTCTCTCGGTCTTTATCATATCATATATCATTCAATATTTCATTTTATTTGGCATTCTTTATGTGCGTGTTTTATTACCTATTTTGACATGATGATGATGATATGAAACTATGGAGTAAAGTAAGTTTTATTTAAAGAAACGTTCTATTTTAAGAAAGAAACATACATATATTTTCTTTTAGTTAGAAAACAAATCAAATGAACTTGTCAACTTGAGTATACACGCATAAAATTAGTACACATAGATGAATGTACAGTAACAACAAAATTATCTAGATAGTCTTTTGAAAACCAGAAGAAAAGGTGGGAATATGAATTGTTTTTTTTTTACATTGAAGTAAATAATCATTACTCTAGTTAGAAATTATTCAGTTACATATACATTACTGGGTCTTCTTTTATTTAAGAGATGAATCTCACTTTGATAATCAGTTGTTTGTTTCCTATTTTGTTCTACAAGTTTCTTTGATTATTTAAACCAAATGAGTACACATATATTATTGTAGAACTGATGACCGATAATGATGAGAAGCATTCGCGTAGACAGATAGCAGTAGTTAAATTTTCTGCTTTTACTCTGTTGTCTTCAATTTAATCTCTAAACAATTATCTGATTATAAATACATACATATACATTCGCGTGTAGATTAAATTACTAACCAACAGTCAATTTTGCGCTAAATGTTATACTCCAGTTGAATATTTGATGTATTTATCCCCTATTCTCTTTTTTCTTTGATTTGATTGGGAAAATTTTTGATGATAATTAAATTTTTTCACGTTTAAATCTTTCCTCTTTTTAGTTTTTAATGTACACAAGCTTTACACAGTAATAATAAATTTTATAATGATGAAGACAGCTCGACAGTCACGCATACTAGGCATATGTCATTTGTCAAAAAAAATGAAAGAAGCAAATATGTTTACTTTGGTTGCTGATTTTCACTTTCTATCTGTTATTGTGATGTGATGATTAGAAAAGAGAACATTATCAAGAAACAATGATGAGCAAAATAAACAGATCAGCAGACGACTAAATAGTTAGTCAGTTCGTTTTAGCCCAAATAAAAACTACCGAGAACCATGTAGTAGAAGGTAAGTATCTAGTCATACTTTGAGACTTCTTACTGATGCACACTTATGACCCCAAATGAGATGGAACTAAGGGCGTTTAATCTTTCCGACCAGGAAAACATACTTAACCAGACAGGTCACAAGTCAATGATTCACAATTTAATTTTTCTTCAATTTGAAACACGGTGCGATCATCATTTAATGTCATTAGTGAGTGGGTATCTCGATTTCGACTTCGTTGAACTTCATCATCAAAACTTTGAGAATCTAGCCTAAAGCCAAATCACTCAATCAATATTTGAATAAAAGAAATTTGTCCATATTCACTGTATTTCTTCACTTAACAAATGAGCATAAGCAAAGTATAGAATGATACTTTTAGTTTGTAACCTTAATTGAATATAAACATGACACACAAAGTATGATGTTAAAAAATATGCGTTTAACAATTAAAACAAATATATTGTGCGATGAAAGGAAGTTTCAGAGTATCTTCTTAATTTACAGCACTCACTAACAGGGAATAATTTTAATGAAACCCTAATCGCCTGTTTAGTATTCCTCTGTCAGATAATTTTATGAATACGAGTTTTTCTGCTTACTACTTCTACAAATCACTTGGCTACTTAAATCTTAGCAAGTAGTTAATACATACAAGACTAATAACTGAATATCACGACTTCGTTAGGCACAAAATTAAGTAGTTAGATGAATGAACAATCTTCCTCACTAAATTCAGAATACCTTTCAACCAATTCAATGTAGTGATGTAAATCGTCCTTCCAATACAGGTGCTTCTTTCAAGTGTAGATAGACGTACGTGTTGTTGTGGTAATACTGAAATATTATCACTGAATTACGAGAGATAATTAGACTGTCCTGTGAACAACAATCGTGACCTACTACACCAAGTCATTACAATCGTCACCGCTGCAAAATTAACCAAAGTAAAATTTCTATAAGCCACCTTCTAGAGTAATTGCAAAAGTATGCATGTTGACTAGTCAGTAAAGTGGTCTAGATAGATAGCAAAATAGATTTGGGAAGTGCCGCTTCAAAGTGACGAGCCCACCTGTCGGGGATAGTTTATTCGAGAAGTCTCAACCCACTTAGAACTCCATACAACACAAATTGTAAGAATAGTAGTGATGGAGAAGGCTTAAAACTCAGGTGGATGTTTTATTATGACCTATAGAATAGCTGTAATTAGGAAACATTCATTGTTGCTCTGATCATTATTAGTATCTACTTCACGTGCAAGTGAGCCTTCCCCATTATTTATGACGAATGAGGGTTTCCTAGACAACCCTCCAGAAATATACTTCTCGTAACAGCATCGAACTGGTAATGCAACTAATAAAACCGACGATTTTGACTTTATTGGTCCCTACTTTTCGAACTTTGGAATGACTAATTCCTCTTAAAAATTTTCAGTGAGTAAGGACCTGTCAAGAACATGTTGAATACTGATTGCGTAATTGGTAGTATTTAACCTCATCTTACTATGAATGAGTCTAAGGAGACAAATGAAAATTAACTTCGTTAATTTCAACAATATAAGTGTAATCTAATTTACAGTCGCCATGGATTTTTCGAAATGGGTAGTATCCAGTGTTAGGTAGTATATATTTTTAAGTTAGCTTGTCTTACTTCCCTATACTTGCTAATGAGCTTAGAATGATATATATATATATATGCGCAGTAAGTGTAGTCGGATGCGTCGACAATTTCACTTATCTTGGAAGTTTAATCAACCTTAATGAGTTGGTGTTTGACGAAATCTCTGCACGGATTCAAAAAGCTCGTTTGGCTTTTGCCAACTTACATTACCTATGGCGAAGGCGAGATATCCGTCTACCAATTAAGGGACGAGTATACTGCGTGGCAGTTCGTTCTGTTCTACTTCACGGCTGCGAAGTGTAGAGGATACTCGTAAGTTACTATTAATTGATCACAGATGTCTTAGAAATATTGCTGGGATCATCAGGTAAGTAATAGTGAGGTTAGACACAGGGTACAATGGGATGATGGTAAATCAGTTAATGAGATTGTGAATCTTCATCGACCGAGATGGTTGGGCCACGTATTACGTATGCCTTAACACCGATTACCTCGACGCGCAATGCTGACTAGTTTCGGAGATGAATGGTAGGAAGTTAGGGGCGGCCAAACCAAAACGTGGCATCAGTGCTTGAAGTCACTAACTCCTGGTCTGAGCCATGTTGGTAGATGCAGACTACTTGGTTGGGGTTCGTGCGACTATCGTAATCAACGGTTGAAGATTCTTGGTGACATGGCTCAGAATCGATCACAATGGCGTAGGTGTATACACTCTTTGCCTTCCGTGAAACCGGGAGATAAAGATTACTTTACACCTTTCTATGAACTGATTCTTCACTGTATCATATTTCTAGATGTCATCTTTTTTATATACTACTACCATTGAAGTAACTGCTTCTATGAATTCGGTATTCATCTTGTTGTGCTAATGAGGCACGGCAACTTGCACCGATGCATATATGTGCCTGGTCCTAAGTTGTAGACGACTGACTGATATATACGTACAAAAAACAAGAGAAACTAGGACAAAGCCAAAAGCTCTATTTTATTCTAAATCAATGTACCTAGGAATAACCAGCTGTCTTGAATTCGTTAACAATCTAACATATGAGAAAAGTTGATATTGGTTGTTTAAATATGAAATTAGTAGTGCATAGATCCTGTGAATTAAATCATTTACAAACCAAATGAACGAAATGATACTTCATCGATACACATAATCTGCTTTTAGGTTTTCTGAGATTTCGACTTCCCATCTATCACCATTTTGCAGCAATTTTTCTTTATTATACAGTAATTCTTCATGTGTTTCAGTAGAATATTCGAAGTTCGGTCCCTGAAATTCAGAAGAGAAAACAAACTAGAAAATTAGTTATCTTAGTTGGAAATTAATCGAAAGTAACAACGCCATCCATAGACCACAAAAGGGTTTTTGAAGTGGGAGGTTAGAAAAATTAAGCTTCCAACTCATTTTAAAAGGTAGTGACTTCTCTCGTGACATCGATTTTCTTCGAGACACCGAAGAGCCTCTATGACTAAGCTATAGTCTGGTGGTTTATACAACTTATTTATCTATCTACCAGAGAAGTGTGCTTAGAACTGTTCCATCTTTAACACACGAACAGTTGTTAAGATTACAGTTAAATTGACATAACCTGTCAAAAAATCATATCCTTCTAGTAAAAATCCATTAATTTTACAGAGGAAGTTAGACTGAACAGAGTAATAGCTTTCACAGTAACGCATTAGTCTAATTTGCTACATTTGATAAAATAAATGCAAGAGTATAAAACACCTAAACTCGTGTTTTAGACTTGCAATTCCTGAAATCTAAAACTACTCATTTTTGACACCCCATCGAGCTTAAAGAGGAATTGTATTTTTTAAAATCATATCTTTTAATATTAAAACTACTGTTTTAGACTTCACAATGCAGTTATGCTGATGTAATGATGAAATTAAAATGTGCAAATGAACCATAAGATTTATAACTACTGAGGCTTGTCTAGTTACTTTTTCTTGTTAGACTTTTCTACCTAATGATTTAAACTAACCGACCAACTTTAAAGTAACAAGACAAAACGATCTGTGGAATGAAGATACTGACGAACCAAATCTCGAATTCCTGCTGATGCATTTAAAGTGGGTGAAAACTTATGAGTAAGGATTTTTAACTAAAACAAAACAAAACTCAACCTTGTTTTTATATAGGCCTAAATGAAGTATTCCTTGTTTGAGAACTTATAAATGTAAGCGGTCTGAGCAAGTAACAAGACAAAAAGCGTTGTGATGGGTGCTAGGAAAGATGTGATTCTGATATATTATTTATTTATTTATTTAAATACATAAACACTGGTACAAGGAGGTACCAAATATTGGTGTGCCACACAGACCATTCGATTTGTGAAGACCGGAATACTGCCCGGGCGTCCAAACAGAAGCATGTGGTTTTCTTAGGGATTCATATTTCGAGCCTTTGACCTACAGGTCTAATCCACAAGGCAATGGCACAACGTTAGAAGGTGCAGTTCCATTGTAACCGGTGACCAATAATTGACTCATAAGCCATTTGTTCCCTCAGGATCCTGTAGCCTATGTGCACCATTGGTTTGGAGTCAGGGTTACTGCGAGAAGGTATTGACTGGATACATTTAGCCATATGAGAGCACTTCGAGAGAGAGGTGACTCTTCCCATCCCATGGCAATGTAATTCTGATAATCAGAGTGGAATGTAAGGGATTAACATTTTCCTTAAACAGATGATTAGCTGGGTGTTTGTGAACTCGATAGGTATACGAACGGCTTTACATATAACGCGAACAACCTTATTTTTAACATACAAAATCATATTATGCTTAATTATCATGTGATTGATATAAATGTGCTATTTTGCTAGTAATTAGGATGAACCACATACGTTTTTCATAGAACTGTCCGACTTCATTTTCAACGTTTAGTAACTATTTGAACTGAAAAGTGTGTAAAAGCTGACTTTTATTGATCTTACATATAGCTCCTAAGATCTGAAGACTCAAAGGTTAAATATACATTTGAAATCTTTCGAAAGATGTCGTTTAACTGTTAACACACACCCAAACCATATAAAATTTACTTGCCGATCAGATACCAGTGTTAAAATGATAGAAACGTTAGTCGATCAGTTTTAGAGATAAGCGATAGTCTGGATGGTGATTTATCCACTTATGATCCTATTTGTTACATCTTTATTTCACATTCGTTTGGCAGGTGACTAAAGTGCTATTGTCAGTTTCACATTCAACTTAGATACCAAGTGAACCGCATCCATCTGTCATATCCTTGATCTCAAAAATAAATTGTCAAGATATCAGGTATTTGAAACTCGCTAAACCTTAAAGTGATCATAAGTAAGTGGATAATAGTTTAAACACATTCGCTTTCACTGATTATCTCTGCCAAAAAAACACCGATTAGATAGGAACCTGATGTCTGCCCTTAAATTACCTAGTCTTCTGCTTTAATCTAACAAAGAATCTCCGAGTACATAAAGTTTTTCCCAAACACATTGAATAAGCTGATATCTTGACAATTTTATTTTTGAGATCAAGGATATGACAGATGGATGCGGTTCACTTGGTATCTAAGTTGAATGTGAAACTGACAATAGCACTTTAGTCACCTGCCAAACGAATGTGAAATAAAGATGTAACAAATAGGATCATAAGTGGATAATTCACGAAGTCAGAAAAGGTGAAAATGAATGTGTGATGTAATCTGTACGAGTCTAGTGGCCGATTCGCAGGGTCAAAAGTTCTATTAAACTAGCCATACGTTGTTTTGTGTGTAAATTTCCTAATGCTTTAAAATTACCAAAGGGTAGGGTGGAAATTCCATCATTCCGAGTAATACACTAGTAAGCGTTCATATGCCGCCTGAGACGTTATAGATATAGCTCTTGAAAGGTCTACATCATGTTGTTAAACTCAAAATTTGGATATGAACACGACGCTTTGAAAATACCAGGGCTTACTAAACGAACAGTAAAATTCAGCAAAAGTTTTGCTAGGTCAGCCACTGAATAAACACATTTCCCTCATTATGAAAGTCAACTCACAAGGGAGATTCCACAAGTCAACTAATAGTCCTTCACTTAAAACCTTCACAAAGTATTACCAATTATTTCCTAGTAGATTTGGATTTTGCTGTTGTGAAATGAACAGTAATAGTATCAACTGAAAGTTACGTTAATGAAAGCTCGGTATGCAGCCTAGAAAATTAGCCAAATGATCTTTATTACTACGAGTATAGTAAGCACTTTAAAAGAACAAATTGGTCACCTCTACGATGGCGTCTACTGGACACGCTTCCTGGCAAAATCCGCAGTAGATGCACTTGGTCATATCAATATCATATCTAGTTGTCCTTCTACTCCCATCAGCTCTTGGCTCAGCCTCAATAGTGATTGCTTGAGCTGGACATATAGCTTCGCAAAGTTTGCAAGCGATACACCGTTCTTCACCACTAGGTACCTACGTAAAGCATGCTCACCACGAAATCTTGGACTGAGAGGACCCTTCTCGAAAGGGTAGTTTAAAGTTGCAGGCTCCTTAAACACCATACCAAGGGTTAACCGTAGACCTGTGATAATCAATACCGTTTATCAGTAAATTTAGTACCTCTCAATATATCTGCTACTATAAGCCATCTCGTCACATTCTCAAAACCACTTTTAATAGTATCCTCTTTATGAGGATCAACAACTAGTTTATATTTTGAATTGTAGTGTCCCAAATGCAGCTGTGCAGCTGAAACCTCAACTAGGGGAGAAAGATTGAAAACACATCTCCGGATAAACAAGGTCATTAGTTCTCCACAAATAACCGCCTAAATGTCAAATATCCAGTTGGAGTCCAATATCCAATACCTTTGTCATGTGGTTGTATAAACCCATTGATTGTTTTGCACTTGCTTCTTATGATCTCGGTACTGTTCCAGTAGGTGAGGACGCAACCAATTGACTGCACTAACCCTTACCGGTGTTGTAGTTATTTGTGGATTTGTATATCTTGTAGTTGAGTGCGTTTGTTTCATGGCAATAGGGTTTCTGGATACCAGCAGTCAACACATTACCAGTAAGAAGGTTGTTTGATTTTAATGTGAAAATAATAAAGTGACAATTCGATTGCCAGAAGAAGTTAACTGTTACAACAATAATAAATAAGTTGATTGGTTGATGTGTAAGAAGATGGGACTGAAAGAATAAGAGGGGAAACTGAGATGATACGAAGTAGTTGCTGGTATGCGTTAGTGATAGCCGTGGTAATTTATGAGACATAAATCAGAAAGCTAGTCCAAAATGGATTTGGTAATCCATGAGTAAGTGTTTGTCAGGTCTTCTCGTGAAGCTGTCCACTGAGGGGGTTGAATTCACTTCGGCCGGAAAAGCATTTTAAATGGCTGCATCCCGTAATGCGGAAAGTAAATGTATGCACGTTTTTTGGCTCTTTCACGTAAGATCTTTGGAGGGTTGCCTTGAGGAGCGTGGTGATGATATTCTGGCAATATCCTCGTATTGAGTAGGCTAGGTGAAACTAATTCCTACTGTTGAGATCTTCTTACTCGCCTGCACTATTTTCTTTGCTACGAACCGCCATGTTCACCAGGTGTTCCAGTGTCAGGATAAAAGTGGGTCCGTGAAACCCATCTTCGCAACTTTCATTATGGGAAGTACATGAGGTGTTGTTGAAGGCTTTTGTGAAGTCGCGAAATGTTACATGAACTGGTACCTTATGGATCCATCAGGTTGTCAAGCTTTCCCACGCTATGAGCGAATTGGATGCCCACGACCTGTCCTTCCTGAACACACGTTGGGCTTGGTGGAGGATGCTTTTTACCCATGTATTCCCACATTTGTTCACTAGCTAGTCCTTCCATCACCTCTGACAGTGAAGTTAGTCTGCGACAGACTAGGTGTTTTCTATCGCTCGTTTTGACGATTGGAGGAAGAGTGACCTGTTTACTTTCGCTTGGCAGTTGATGAGAATCTAATAAGTGCCTGAATGGGTTGTGTACCTGTGCACTGTTGACTTTTGAGCACTGTTTCAGGACTATAGGTGGGATTTTGTCACATGCTGTTGACCCCTCGGGGCACAGGGATTTGATTCTTTTTAACACTAACCCGGAAGTCGGCTGGGTATCTTCAGGACCCTTAACTAGCACTAGGGTAGAGAGGTGTGTCACACTTTCAGGATCCTGATTTAGTCGGTCTGCCATTTTTAATTAGTGAAATTCTTACTTTTTGGCACTTTTGGAGTACACATACCCTGGTTTTCAAGCTATCTCCTGGTGATGAATGTGTGGAGATACTTGGAATTAACTTGCACTTAGACTGATAGCTTGACCTGAAAACATCTCCCGTTGCTTTTAACTTTGATAGTTCATGTTTCTCAGTGGCAGGTAAGAGAAGCGATCAGATTCTGCCAATGAGATTTTCTAAATGTGCCAGGCTCTCTACTTGAACTGTAGCGAGCGTTCTGTGCTTCGCCTGATCCAAAATCTTCGCTTTCCGGGTGTGCGCTTACTATAAGGTACATAGTGTTGGGTACTGTGCTGAATGATATCCCTCATAGGTCACCTACTGTTAGCCTTCACCACTCTCATGGCCATGGGGCGTGTTGAAGATGCACCCTTTTCATCATATAGTGTGCTCTGGCGTAACTAAGGTAGAAGACATTCTCGTTCCATCGAGGTATCTTGTTTGTGGCCATGTTAAACATGGCCGCACCATAGTCACTAATTCCTCTTGGTGCGTGGACATGGACATCCTCAACCAGAAGCTGATCACTTATCAGTAAATAATCTAAGTTTGAGTGTTTTCTGTTGCTGTCCCATTTCGTGTCGCCACACACATGCTGTCAGTCCTGAACTTCTAATGGCTATGGAAAGCCACTTATGGAACCACTTTGTAGGGGTTGTATCCTCGTAGCTGAGCCTTAGGGATGGAGTGTTATTATTATTATTCACAAACCTCTTATGGGTACATAAGTGTTGTAAAGAAACCATTTCGGGTTTCCTCAACAATGCAATAATACACAAGTTTAAATAATGTTAGCATTATATTTGAAAAGGGAGTAATAATAATAGAACAATAATAATAACTCAGGTTCTGTGTAATTGAGAAGGATATTGAATTGAGTTTAAAGAAGGAAAGGAAGAAAATAAGGGAATTCAAATAAAGGAGACGTGAAATATGCAAATAGTTTAATAGGAGGGTTAATGAACACAGAACAAGAATAAACGACTATGTATGTGTCGTCAAATTAGTAGCAAAAATAAAACAGAAAATAATTATGAAAAAAATGACTTATTATTGTGATAAGATATGACGCTAGAATAAATGTTTGTGCAGTCATGATCTGGATTGATGCTATGAAAGTCTCATTTAAGTGAAAAGGATAATGAAATATCAATATGTATGAGTCATATATACATAGTGAAGATGAAACGAGTCTGATGAGTTAATTTACGTGTAACACAAGTTATTGTCTTAATTACAAACTTGGTGAACTTAAGAATAATATTTATTTAGATGGAAAAAAAATGAACACCTAGCGAAGGGGTTCAGCCATGATAATAATAATTGTGTAATGAATATCGACCTCTGAAGTAAACTAGCAATTTGAAAAAAATAAGATAAAAAATCCTTTACTGCGCTCGGATAAACACATATAGATTTATGTAATATATATATATATATATATATATATATATAGTTGAAGATAAAATGAATCTGAGAAGTTAATTTATTTGTGTGTACCTTGAGGTAATTTGTTTTTAGTTATAGACTTTGGATGTTTAGGAACAATACATGTTTAGAAGGGTAAGAAGAGATGAATAGAATATCTAATGTGTCGAGGTACCAATAACGATATCAGTAACAGTAACAATTATAGATACAAACATGAGCGGACTTCATATATTAAGATGAATAGAAATAGAATAAAATAGACGTGAAAAGTTTCAAAGGGCACATTGTGCTTTTTAATCAATTAGATGGATAACGGACCTTGTTTGTATAAATCATTATTAAACACATTGATATTCAAAAAGTGACAAAATCCACTTTTGGAAAGAAAATCATCAGGGGCACTTTTGAACCGGGTTGTAGTTTCGCTGCAACAGAGGTTCAATGGTAATCTGTTCCATGTAGTTGAGTAGCGAATAACGACAAAATTCTGGCTTACGTTTCTATGGGTTTCTGGAATCGCTAGTTGTTGTAACCTCCAGCTAGTAGTATTTGGACAAACTCCAGCTGAGGCAGCTTTAGTATCTCCTGTATTATCTTTCGTTATTGGGTGTTCGAACCCGTGTGCAGCCGGTATAATCCTCTATTCAAGTACTTTGTACCGCTTAAACTTAAGCAACACCAGCATTTTTCTTTCTCCCCAGTTAATTCGGTACTGTGTGTAACTAAGGCTTTGAAGTGACTGTTAATGTATTCCCCCACCCCACCTTCTGTCTATGTACCCTATCGTATCTGCAAAGTGTCCCGTCTTGCAAGCCCACTTCTGCAGTGGTATCGGTTCCTAAGTACACGACCTTTAAAGCTGAACATAGAATTACTGAGGAGATCCACTTTCAACATGTAACAATGTTAGAGAGATAAGAATGATGAACGCGTGAACATTGATTCATCATTTAGATGACATGACTCAGCCTTGCATGAGTGGTCATTCTTGTGCAACTTATCGCTTTTATTAATATTAAATATGTTGTTCTATCTCCAGCCCAAATGTGTTCTTTGCAAACGCCTAACGCTATATCACGGTACGATACGACATTCAGAATAGGCAATTATGTGACTTCCACGTAAAATTATATAGATTAGATAGTCACATAACAAATAAGCAATTTTGGGATTAAGTCTATTATTAGAGAAGTAGGAACAACAAGATAAACCATAATTTTGCACTTCTTGATCCATGACGTCGGGTGATAGCTGTGTTTCAGTGAGGAATATGATATCCAGGTGTAACATAAAGCATATGTTTCTGATTTTCTCCAGCCTGCTTCTTGGCAGTCTTAGGTTGCTATAGAGGCACTTGATGGTTTGTTTCATCATCTGATGCTGTTCTACAGTAACATCGGTCTTCTGTTTTGTAAGTAGCTTGTCTCTGTTCTCAACCGTGAGTTGTGCCAAGGTGTGTCTTTTGGACTTTCTTGTTGTTGTTTTGCCTATCTGGGTAGGCCTTCACAACATCCGATGTGACTGGAGGTGTCGATGTTCTTAGCTGTACTTTAATAAGGCCCTGCATTTCGACGTCAATTTGACCGCATGATGTTGTCGACGGGCTCACCACTTTTGTTGCCCGAGATATGACTCCAATTAAATCGTATTAATGATTGCTGTCAAAAAAAATATATATATATATCGTCAATCCTCGCATAATATCATCGACTTAAATGGCGATGGTGTTTAACGGAATTAAATAAGTCCAATACGACAACGGGTTTCGATTATGTATATTTCAGGCATTCATTGGTTTCAACAGGCAATCAAGGAGACGAAATAAAGAAGGAAGAGTGAAGCGGATTGGCGAAGCGAGGAGAACTAAGCAACATGACGCGCAGTAGAGGTGGCGTGTGGGACAACTCCATTTAACCAAGCGTTAATCAAAAATAAGCTTCAGATATGTGGTGAGTAGGATATGATGTACACACATACACTCATATCAAAACGGTCAGGGTTGATAAGTAAACAATTATCAAGGTCAAATGTGGCTGAAGAAGAATGGGTAAACTAACCTGTCCAGAAGCTAGAATAAGTTATGTGGGCTTACCATAGTAACCGACACCAAAGTACA